GCCCTGCGCGACAACAAGTCCTCATCCATCAAACGCTCAACCTCCTGATAGATCAGCTCGGGAGATTTCTCGAGGCTTTCGCGAAGCAAGCGGTAAGCAGCGGCTTTGGACCTTGAGCCCGAGGAAGACCCGAGACCGAAAACATCTGAACCCGAAGGGCCCTCAGCATGGTCAAGGTAGGCATCAAGGGTACTCGGCCGGTCAACTTGCTTCTTCTTTTCGACGAGCTGTTTCATGATCCCAGTCAGCGCAAGAACAGCTCGTTCCACAGCAGGGGCCTCTCCCCCTACGTCGGGGACATCATCACCGAGGCCGCTAGGGGCCGCAACACTGCCGACCCCATCCTCGAGGTCGGCCTCATCGGCACCAGGAAAATCATCGAGGCCGCCTCGCCCACCTCTCATCAGCCGGCTTATCTCAGCGAGCTCGCCGGGCGAAACGCCAGCTCCCAAAGCGGCCCTCGTAACGGCTGGGTCCAAAGAGGCAACTTCCTTAGCCCGACCAGGCGGCTTTGGAGTGCCCGGCACAGAGCCTTCAGTGGGAGGTACTCGAGGCTTTCTTGCAACAGCTTTAGTCTTTGCCCCTGCTTTTCCAGTAGGCGGCACGGCAGGCCCCGCACGATCTGCAGCGCTCACAAGCCTATCAACGCTCTCAGCAATGCGAGCCATGCTAGCCTCAAGGGCACGAAACCTCTCCTCATGCTTTGCTCCCTCGGCAGGAGCACTCAGAGCACTCTGGAACCCAAAATGGGCCTCGGCAAGCTCAACAAGGGCCCCCGCAAACGGAAGGCCTGCACGGGACGAGGTGGCAAAAGAGATGTCGGGGAGCTCGCTGGACTCAAAGGTAACCTGGTCGGCCAGGCTGGCAGCAAGCAACCCTATCCAAACCTTCATAGGCGACTCGCTCCCTACAACCGAACGGTCAGCTGCAGAGGCACAAGCAACTTCAACAAGCATGGGCCGAGAAAACGGGCCCGCGGGCAACTTACGCTGCTTGGGTTTCTTATCCCAAGCCTTCTGAGGAAAAACTGCCAAGGTCCTGCCTTCAAACGGGACCACAAGTATAACTGAAATGGTGCGCCGAGAATCGCCGTCTCCAACAGCTAAGGCACCAAGCTCATATTCATAATTCACTGCTCCACCAACATAAGCAAAACGGAGCTCCCTCGGCCGAGCCTCAAGAGCTTCAGGCTCCCCCTCGGAGCTGGCTTCATCCTCAGACATGCCTCTCTACCGGGGCTTGAAACCCAGCACTGTCGGCAGCAACTGCAGCTTCCCACTGAGAGGGGAAGCCGGCAAACACAACTTCTTCAGCAAGGAAACCGGAGGGCTTCACAAGCTTCTTGATGCTCTCGAAGTTTCGGGCAAGCAGAGGCGGGTCGTAAACCTTCCCACTGTGGTCCCGAAGCACAAGGTACACTCGATTTGCAAGGGGATTCTCTTCACGACCACTCGGACCCCGATGGTGCCCTGCAAGACACCGCAAAAACCAAGCCCCGACCCTCTTTGCAATGGCACGGCGCTCGTCCTCAGTGATGCCTCGGCCAGCAGGGCCCGGATCGACGTATGTACCTGAGCCAGGAGCAGCGAGGGAGGTTCCAGGGACAGGGCCGGGAGAAGCAGGCCTCTCCGAAGATCGGTCAACAGGGGTCCAGGCGTGAGGGGACGGCCCTAAGGGTCCTGGGCTGTTAGAGGCGGGAACCGGCGGGGCTAGCCTATCAACCACAAGAACCTGCAAGGCACGAAGCTCCGAGCTGAGCCGCCTGACCTCGGAACTCAACTCCTGCACGGTCGCAACAAGCGTCTGCAAGGTGCGATCGGTGGATCCCATACACTCAAAGAATCCGGTAAAGGGGCCCAGCTCGAGGCCTGAGAGCAGCCAGCCGCTCTCTGACAACGGCAGTCCACCAAACCCTAAGGAGGTAAACCAGATCTATAACCGGACCGGCAGCTAGCCCAACCAGAATCCCAAGAATCAAGGAAGGGATATGCACCCTCTCGGCAAAGTCCACAGCCGGGCAGCTGAAGGGAATCGGTGGAGCCTCAAAAGCAGGAGGCAGTAAGTCCTCGGCCGCCCTGAGGAAAAGAGAGACGAGGCTTCCCCCTAAAAGCGAAGCCTGCACCGGCCTAAGGGCCATCTACTCCTTGACCCAAAAGATCTTCCGAACCAAGCTCAGCAAGCATGCTTAAAGACAGCTCGCAGCCACAGTTTCTCTTCGCCGGAGTGGAAACGCGTGTCAATGTTGCACATCGTCAATGCAACCACCACAATTGCAGCAAGTGAAGAGTGGTTATGACAGCAGTGTCTCCCATGCAGGCCGCGGCCGTACGGCCCGACCACCTGACCGTCCCCAAACTCAAGACTGCTGCAAAATGCAACCTGCTTAAGCATCTTAAGCACGACCGCCTTCAGACTTTCAGCATGCTCCACAGAGAATGTGGACTGTCGTCCCTTCTCGGCAGGAGGATGTCTTGAAGCCTTAGGTCTTGGAAACCTGTATTCAACTTGCCATTTTGCAAAGGCTTGGGATATCCTCCAGCCCAATAGCATCAATAACAAACCGGTTTCCGTAGCAGCCGCTGCATTCCGGGAACAGGTTGTACAAAGCAGTGTTCTTCAGGACGCCGGGCACAGACATGTGCACACCAACATGCCGAGGGCCACTGGACAGCAGCATGCCATACACACGCTCCTGCCTCGGACATCCCGTCTGCATACTCACCATCTCCTGCAGAAGCCAGCGCACAGATTTACTGAATCTACGTACGGCCAAGTTGCATGGTGATTTGTGCCTTCGACTTCGGCTATACTATATCATCAAATCCTTCAACTGACTCAACCGAATCGAGCGGCACTCGCGATGCTACTTTTCCATGTTGGGGAGCCTGTCTCTCAAACGTACATGGATTTTTTGGCATACCGTCGGAAGGGTGGTGGGCATCGACTAGGTGTCGTCAGCATGCCGATGTGCTCGAAAGCATCACCATTTCGAGTCCTGTCAGAAACGCCGCGTGCACCAGCTCGTGGACAAAATCCACAGGGTTCCTTCGCGGGTCCTCGGGAAAACAAAAGAACAGCCTGTCCAGAGATGCAGGCGGCAAGGTAAGTTTCCCGCAGGTAAACCCTTGCCCTTGAATTCTGCATCGGCTGCTGCAACCTGAGCTTGTCAAGCAGAAAGCTTTCGATGCCAGTGAGCGAGCCCAGTTCAGCCAGTTGTTCCCTCCCAAGTGCAGCCTGCAACAAGCCGATCAGGCATCTGGCCACTTTCTGCTCTCATGGTGCTGTCGCGCTCGTTAGACTTGCGGCGAGGCATGCCTGCAAGTCAGTGTCCGTTACCTCGGCAAACTTGCAAAGAGAATCGCGAACCTCAGGGAGGCAGACACGAGCTGTCATGATACGTGCACAATCTCGCCCTCCCGGTCCAAAAAAACCACAAATGCATCCCGGCCTTAGCCAACCTGGGCTCCGACCAGATGGACTGATCAGAAAGGGGCTTGCCACCTTCTAACTCCAACCTCTCCAGCAGCAAGCCCAACTCATCAAAGGCAGCCAGCTTCTCAAGGCCGCCAATCGTTCTTTCGACGATTTTCCACCATTCCTGCCAGCTCCATCCCACGCGAGCCCAGCCCCAATCGGAGTCCGGGCTCTTGGGATAAATGCTAAAGAGCATCTGCCGCAACACCCCCCTGGCATCCTGACCTCCGGCCATCGCTGTTTCCACGGCCTCCTCCACTGCCCGCGTCTTCACGCGATGGCCCTTAATGAGCTCGGCCAGGACGGCACCGAGGCCACCCACGGGGGGCTCGTTGAGGCAGAAGGCAATGATCTCTGTAAGAACTCTTGACTGGCTATCCACGGGAACATTCATCTTGGCCCAAAACTCGATCCAATCTTTGGGTTTCTGTGCAGCCTGCTCCACAACCAGAATCTTCAGGCATCGACTCAACAGTTCGTTTTGAACTTGCCCGGATTCTGACACAATTCTTTTCTCCTGTACCTCACCCATAAGCGCATAGAGAGGATCAGTGCTTGAGAAGGTTTGCCATGAAGATGCTTTTCGAACCGCTTTTCGATCAGCAGAGTCTTCCTCTGCATCAGCAGGGGATGCAGAGCGCTTCATGGCATGGGTCATCAGTCCGGCTCAGGCAATGTTTATCGTGAGGCTTGTTGGCTTGGTCTCGTGTTGCCTGCAGACAGTCTGTTGTTGCGTCACATGAAATGGGAGCCAACGGCATCTCATCTGAGAACAGGCTGCGGTCAACTCTGTGATCACAAAGCCGCCAAGCAGTTGCTGACAAGGAGCCAGGAGCTCTCTGGAGGCTCCATGCAGCGGCACCTGTGCTCTCAGCACAGCTGATGCTCCGAATCTCACTGCTGTTCCAGTTCTTGTCCACGCACCGTCAAAGCTGCGCTGCTCCCCTGCAGGTGTCTCCGTACTGCCTCAGCTTCGCTGTATGCAGCAGGATGCAGCATGCATATGTAGCATAACAGCCCTAGACTCCTAGACTAGTTGGGCATTACAGACAAGAATGTACCAGAAAAGATGCTGGCAAGCATCTGCCACACACGAGGCGGCTAGCTTGAGCAAGGGCATGACAGCCTCGCCGAAGTGAAACCACGGCTTATGTGAGGCCTGGTTTTGCTGCGCAGGGCACGGAGAGAGCGAACCCCGTTGTCTGATGGTCAAGATCCAGTGCTCACTTGCTCACTTACGCAACTGCGTCAAAACCCATGAGCCTCCCTGCTCAGCCGAGCCGAAGCCAAGCCATGCGCTCGGAAGCCTGAGGCCACCAGATGCAATCAGACTGCCGCTGGTATCAAGAGAAACCAGTCTTTGAGACATGGAAGCCAAGGTCTGTGGTATTTTCCCACACGCCGCACGGTAGGTAACATTCTGGCTCTCTGACATTCATATAAGAAGGATTTGATCAGTGCTCACGTCAAGCATCCCCAAGCGCACGCGGATGCACGCATGCAGCGGTTCCGCGGCTCCCGCTTTAGCGGGATGACATCTTCGACTATAATCATGTTCTTTCGACAGTCCTGCTCTGCTCCTTTGGACACGCACGATTCATCTTCCGCCATGATACTTTCGCACTCTTGCCGTTCTTCAGTTAATTGACTTGATGACTCGTGCTCCCCCCACAGAGCCGTGCCTATTTTTGTGCTGGTGGACCTGCGCGACAGTCCCGTGTTATCTTTTTGCCTTCGAATCGCTCGAAGTCCCTGAAGTAAGAACAAGGCAGCACTTTTTCGTCACTGTTTGTGCCTCCCCGGGACCCTCGCAACTCCTTGGTGTGGTCTCGACAGTCTTACTGTAAGGGTGAAGGAATGTCGCGAATCCCTAAATCGCGCTACCACCGCATTGCCGTGCGTATCCGTACATCTTTTTGGGGTGCAGATCATCTTCTGGCAGCGCGCGTCGTGCCTGTCCTCGCATCCAGTGCAGTGCACGTTTTGCGATTGGTGTCGCCCCTCCCAAACTTGTGCTCCCACCTCAGTCCTGCACATATAACGGGCATGCTTTGGGGTACAATCGCGCTCCGACCGCGGTGTGGGTGTGCATTTTGGCCTTATGAGGCCTCACGGGATGGTCTCGGAAGCCTGTTTGGGATCTGCGCTGCATATTTTCGATCGAGATCTAGTGAGGTGCCGACTGTGCCAGCGGCGGTTGAAATTCATGCTTGGTTTGAGGTGGACCGACTTTGAAGGTGGGCCTGCACTTCCAGAGGTCTGCCTGATCCTGGCCTTAAACTCAGGCTTGTCTAACTGGCTAAATCGGATGCCCCATCGGCAGTATGCGAGAACGAGCCGTTCCACAAGAACTCGAGAGGAGAGCGCACGAAAGCTAAGGCGGGGGGGAAGTGGCGGCTGTGTATTGCGAATGCGAGCAGGTGCTGGCAATCGAATGTCAATGAAACAGTGCTCCTTGTATGCAGTGTTGCGAACTGGTGCATAAAGCCTAAGCCGGCGCTGAACTACGCATGGCAAAGCTCGTTCCTCAACGCAAGAAACAAGAACAACTCTGAAACGTTTGTTTACCCTCAGATGTTTTCTTCCGTGCTTTTGTAGTTCGTTGTTCGTTGTCTTTATTGGTCTCGTTCGCTTTTTCGTTGAATCTGCTCTCCCTTGTGTTGTTGTTCGTTACCCAGTATTTTTTGATTTATTCGTTATGTCCTCGTGTCGTTGTGTCTGTCTCTCTTGGTGGCTTTAGTTACTTTAGTGGTGCATTTGCCCATCATTTCGCTATCAGTTGTTCTATTTGGGTATTTCTTTAGTTCTTTCGCTCGTTTTTCGTTCATTAACTGTTTATTTCTGTACTTATGTGATTATGCCGTTCTTCCGTTAGTTCGTAATTGTGTTCCTTCGTTGATTCTTTATGTCGCCCTTGGTCTCGTTCTTTCGCTTTGCTGTAGCTTCCTTATCTCATCCTATCCCTTCGGTCTCTATTTCCGGTTTCGATATTTCTTTCTTGCGCGCCCCAATGCCTCCGCCTCCTACACAAAAAACAGGGTCCCCCTCACCCTGCCACAAACTCGTCGATGCTTGTGCTTGTCAACAGCGAGTCGGAAAGCTTGCGCGAACGTGAAACAGTGTTAGGTCATAGAAAATGCTGCTGTCTTCAGTGCAAAGATGTGCACTTCTGTCTATACTGACCACTTCCGGGGGTGGGGGGGCGGCCTCACGGTCGCGGCCTTCCTGGCAGCAAGGTGGGGGTCGCCTCCCTCGCTGACCCTAGATCATAGATCCCTGGTGTATTTAGGAGCTAGGACAAAAGCCAAGTCCATCAACAACTCCCGCAAGCTCCAAAGGAGCTACGACTTCCCTTTCGTGATGCCAGAGGGCAAGAAATTGCCCAAGTTCACGGCATGTGTGGCTTCTCGGTGGTCCCTTTACATTGCATGAAGCTGCCAGATCAAGGATGAATCTCAAGTTTTAAACAAGGCGGCTTGGCACCGCGTTCTTGAATCAGAGACACAACGGCACCACCCGGGCTTCGCACGTGGTGCATCCCAGACCTCTGACCATATGGACAGAAGTTCCTTGGCAAGTTTCGGGGTAGTAGAGGAGCAGAGGAGCAGGAGACGGAACAGAGCCAGATGCCCAAGCTTCCGGTGGCATCGGAATGCCTCCAACCTGAGACTCCGACCGAGAGAGGCCGGCAATGGCCGGCACATCTCACGAGTCTCACATCTCTTCGAGGTCTCTAAGGCCTGCGCAGGCTCCAGGTGCTCCAGGTCCATGTCCATGTCCTCATCGCTGCATCAAATCGTCAATGCTAAAACTTCCTCGTAAAAATATTTGATCACAGCAAGCACCTGTTTAACAGAGTCTGCAAACGTCTGTAAATCACGGGGCTGTCGCAGCTAAGCCACGTCCCTGCCAGGTAGGTCTGCAAAGAGACTACGGTACTGCAACGGCTGACAGGAGCATGCCGGGAACATCTGAAAATTCATTGCGTGGAGGACAAGCTTGTTGAGAAGGCCGCGGTGGCACCACTACATGTGTGTGGTGATTTTTTCTTCATTGGGCTTGAATTTCTTTCGCGTCTTTTGTTGACGCTGATCGCATTTGACGACTGAAGCTTCGTCGTCAGGCTTTGGATGCGCATCCTCCTGGCTTCAAAGCTCAGTCGACTCTGAACATCTCGAAACGGGCGTTGGCAAATGCACCTGCTCTCCTGTGAGCTTCAAGCACAAGAGTATGCACCTGCAGCTGCATAGCGGGGGCTGCTTCACTTGCAGAACTGAGCCTGTGCCCCGTTAAGCTCGCATGACACTGCACTGCATGCAGAACCAAGTCGCTCAAGCTCGCAAGCTGCTTCCAAACCGTCACAGCCTCCGTGCTTGTGCGAGCACTCACTGCCTTTCTCTGCAACGCCAGGTGCCACATCTCAACTCACGCCTGCAAAAGAGTGCTCCTGGACCTTGAAGTTCTTCGCAGCCTCGATGAAACTCTCCAGAATCAGGCTGAGGTGCTGGGGAGACTACGAGCTGCCTCCACCAAAAGCAGAGCATGCGCATCGGGATCACGCCTCGGGAGAGCAAAGGTGCATAAACTAACTCTACACCACATTCTCGCGCCTCTGCAGGCACAGCCAGCATGTGGCACTCGAGGATCCCTGCAGAAGAAGCTATCCCACAAGGCTCAACCGCACGCCACAGCCCCCCGCAGCCTTCAGAAGTGTTCGGATGGTCAGGATTAACGGCCTTCGCAATATTCGATCACTGGGAAGCTTTGGCTGCTTTGGATGAGGATCGGACTGAACAAGTCGACTGGCAAAGACAATGTCCGAGCCAACAACCAGGTCGAAGGATCCTGCTAGATTTTGATCGCTTGGAGCGATGCCCACTCAGCCCCGCAGCCCCTTTCCCCTCCTTTGCTCCTTACGGCTGTCATGTTCGCTTCGCTGCCCCAATCGAGTTCCAAAGCCTTGACTCGGCAGGTGCGACGCCACCGTGATGTGCGACTTGAAAAACATGAGGGCTGCTTCTGGAGCTCTTGAGCCTCGGCAGGCACGAAGTCCTCTCCTTGCAAGCTCTTGTTCGCAGCCTGGCTGCTGGTCCACATTCGACTGAGCGAAAGCAGCACACAATCTTCTTCTTCTTGCAGCCTCCACATTCCGCACCAAGTTTTCCATGGCAACATGCTGCTCTGTAAGGACGACCTTTCCATGATGAAGCATCGGCAACAGCTCTGCTACAGGAGGTGCCTCTGTCAAGATCTTGCCTCACATCCAAGACGAGACAATCCGAGACCAAGCAAACCGCATCCTGCTCCAAGCCTCACACACACACATACACACCATCAGGTTGTGCAACTGCCACCATGCGTGACTGCGAATGGGCTTAGTCAGTTCAGTTTCAAGTCATAACCAACTGCTGACAAATGCACAAGCATCTTTGGATATGATTTTTGGATGATCCAGCTCAGTACCCAGCTCAACAACACGAAGTGGGCGTCCTTCACTTCGCCGCAAGCCTTTCGACTTCAGCGAAGCTGAGACTTATGGTTGGCACGAGATCAAGACTTGAACATGGCACATGGGCCAGTGAACTCCGAACCCGCTGGGGACGTCTGCTTGCTTGAGCATTGAGCTGCAACACGTCTAGGCCCGTGTGGCTATGTGTATCTGGTGCAAGTGCCGGTAGGTTCCTGTTGGAGCATAATGAATGGCAGGTTCGGCGCTGGGTCCAGACCCTCGCATTCAACAAACACTCCTGCTTGTCCAAGCCCCAGCACCTGGGATTATGGCTTGCTGCAAATAGCGCAAGAGGAAGAAGGCTGTTTCCCACACCTCGCACGCACGGCCAGCACCCGGAGGCCCGGAGAGAAACAAACCAAACACTCTTGAGGTTCGCTAAGCATCACTAAGCCTGCTGCGACTCCACCGCTGTGCTCCTGGGTGGATCGGTCCTGGGCAACCTCGTCACGACAGTGCCAAGCCGACCGTGACAACTTTCGTGTCGCTTCACCGGAGATGCATGCGATTCTGCAAACGTGAACTTTCGAAAGTGAAACATGAGCCTCTACGAATGATCCGCCCACTGCAACTCGTATTGCGGGGCGGCTTGCAAGCCTTGTCCACAAGACAAAAGTGTCAATGGCCTCTGTCATCCCCTGGTCACGGAGTACTCAGATCTCAACTCGAAGAGCTTGTCGCAGCGCTTGCCTCTCCATGTAAGAGCCGCCTGCAATGCCACATCGTGCCACGATCGCTGTTCACGTGGCATGCACGAGTGCAAGCACTATAGACAACTCTTGGAATGTGCATGAGTTTTGCCTCAATGTCTGCTGATGGACCGACGCGCTCGGCCCGCTTCAAGGCGTTCTTGCCTGCACAGAGCAAGAGTTGAACGAGGCTGTCTCGTTTGGAGCTAAGCAGAACTGCCAGCGGCGGCCTTCTGACACCGGCGGTACATCGCCGCTTGCTTGCGAGGCCTGTAGCTCTTAGTGTCAGCACCTCATGAGCAATGAATTTCTCCTGGCATCAAACATGACTATAGATGCCTTTCCACTGGCAGCTCGCTGGCGCTGCTTCTTCCTTGCCCCTTGCCGCGGCATCCCCTACCATGTCTTACGATTCACTTTTGGAACTGAGCAACTTCGGGATGTCTACGGTGGCTTTGCGACATGGAAAGTAATTGATCTATGATTGAGATTGAATCCATCCTACGCCGACTGCTTGCTCAGTATCAGAGCAAATGACACCGGCAGCACTTGCACATTGAAGCTAAAAAAAAGTAGTGGAGAAATATGAACAAAGGTTCTGGAAATTGCTTCCGATCTAATTCAAGCATCGGAACATTCAATAACGAACACATTTGCCGGATCTGTCATTCCTGTTGAAAGCGGGTCGATATGCTTTTACCGGAAAAGCCAGACGCCTCAGAGCGTAAGCTCGCTGAAAATGCTAGTCATGAGCAGGAGCCTGTGCCGCATGTCAGTCATCCATCGTCCATACTGAGAGATATCAAGCACGATGGAGCACGAAGTTCTCACGATTTCAGCGAAGTGCACGTCCGGAACTCATTTTGGTCTGCTGGCCATCCGGATCAGAGTCAGACACCATTTCGGGTGAAGCATCTGAGTCGACACCTCGGCACTTCGTTCACTGGGACTGTCAACTGTCAACCGCCGAAACTGACCCGAAATCGAAGAAATGAGGCACTGGCCCACGCATCTGTTCGGTCCCGCAGCAATGGCAGCTGCCCGTCTTGCAGCAGCCGTGCGTTTGACAACTGGCCTTTTCAGCGCTCCTGTGCCAAACACATCAATCTTGGGCACGCGAAGCTGTGGAGTATGTGGGTGAGCGGAGTGGTTGGTGGTTTTGGTGGGGTGGGTGGGGTGGCAGGTGGTGGACGGGGGGGGACGGGGTGGGTGGGGTGGGGGTGGGGGT